CAAGTTCACTAATTAATATTTTATTTGATCTTGTGATTAAGGCACGACAATGACATGATGTGAAATGGAGAAAAGTGTAAGAGGAACAACAATAAGAGGAACAACAATAACAAGCATATAATAATAAATTTAATAAAATTAAAATCTATACTATATTTATATATTTAATAATTATAATTTAATATTTTAACATTTTAAATGTGAATGTTATAATGTTGCCTTTTTTCAATTACTAATACTTAAAAAAAAAGACAAGAAAGGCAAAGATCAAATTCTAAACACCAACACAACACACGTTTTATTTTTCCTTTCTGTTAATGGATTCTCCTCCCCACTCATTCATTGTTGATACAAGTTCAAAATTGTAAGTCAGCAGTTGATGCTGAGTTGGCATTTACAGTTGGAGGTTATGTTGATTATGCAGATGGTTAGCAAGTAGTTCATAGTTAGTTAGAATCAAGGTTAGACAGTGAACTCAGGTGATTAGTCTTGATTAATCTAATTGTTTCTTGTAATCAGCCCCAAAAACATAACGGGATCGCTATGTAATCCTTCTTTGTTGATTGATGAATACAACAAGTAGAGCCTCTTTTCTCTTCTCTTGTTCTTCTTCCTTCCTGGGTTCTATCTTTTCCTTCCTTCTTGTTTCTCCTATTTCTGGCTCTATCAATTGGTATCAGGGCCATGATTGCTTGTACCTGTGGTGCTAATGGCTACACAAGAGTTGGGGCGAGAGTTTGTTGAATTTGAGAAGAAACATGATGCGGACATAGCAAATATCGACCTCAAGATGGTGTCTATGGAGAACACCTCAAAGACGTCAATCAAGAATACTAATACTTTGAGGGAGGAACTCACAAAGTTGATGCAGATAATCAACATTGGAAAGATTTCTTCGTCGGTGATCACCCAAACCTCCTAAGAACAAATGTAGCAACCAATTTTCTTGCATGGTAAGATTCCCTAAAAGCCGAAATACTATTGATCTTATAGCTAGTTTGATAAAATTTGGTAAGGTGGATTTTCCTAGCAATGAAGGTATTGAGAATTTTAGGGGATGATTGTATAAGTGCAACATTAATGTTACATTTTTCTAAAAATTTTTCAGTTTTTTGTTTATTAATAAATTAAAAGGTATAATAGTCAATTAAAATAAAAAAACATGACATTAATAATTGAGAGTATGACAATAATATCATTTCATAATTAAGAGAGAAAAAAGGACTTTTCTATGTTTGATTTTGTATGCATCCAAGTTCGAGATTTTTCTACTAACATTGTTGTTTTTTCATGCCTAGCTCCCTTCATATGAGTAGCTCTAATATTGTTGAAAAAAAATAAAAATTCACACTTTATTTAATTTTACAAATATTATATAATCACTATTCAAATTTAAATATTATTGTTTTAATTATTATTAGTTATTAATTACTTAGAAAAAGGAAATGGAATTGTTGCAAGAAGTGGCTAGAGAAAGGGAAAAAAAATGTTCTAAGTGTTCTTGGAAAAAAAAGTGCAGTCAATAAAATGTATTATTGTACATTTTAAATATATAGCTGTAATATATTAATTGATGGTAGAATAATTTATTAAATAGTATGATATTTTTTACTTTTTTGACTTTAGTAATAATAATAATCACATTTAAAAAAGAATTGAAAAGAAAGAAATTTACCTAAAAATGAAAGTCAAGCCCACATGTCAAAAGAAGAGTAAATTTAGGAAAACATATAAATATGATA